AGAGGTACTGTCTTGTGAAGGGGGATAGGAGGGAAATTGGAAACTAAAATGGAAATCTTAACTCTCAACAGCAAATTATTTAATCAAGTTATGTTAGAAATGTTATCCTCAGGTCTGTGATACTTTGATTTTAAACTTACTATCTGCATTAAGACCCAAACTTTGTTAAATTAAAGTGATAACTGTGTGTAAGAATCTATCCCTAGCCACCTTTGTATTCTAGGAACCAATATCCTAGCTCAGTAGCAGCAGTGTGTACAAACTGTAAGAAGTACTTCAGTAACTCACCAAGGTTCCTTAGACAGCACCTTCCAAACCCACATCCACTGCCATCTGAAAGGACAAGGGCAAAAGATACATGCAGACACCACCAAATTCAAATTTCCCTCCAAGCAACTCACCATCCCAACTTGGAAACATACCGACTTTCCTCCAGCGTTGTTGAGGCAAAATCCTGGAACTCCCTATCAGCACTGAGGGTGCATCCAACCAATCAGATTGCAATGGTTCAAGTAGGCAGCTCACCACTGCCTTCTCACTGACAACTTGGGATGGACAATAAATGCTGGCCCAGTGATGCCCTCTGCTCTTTTGGTTTTCCTTCTTATTTGCTCCAATAAATGTGGCTCATAAGGCATCAATCCAATTTAACATCAATAATATTTGTTCGAAATGCATTGTCCTGCCAGGCTTTTTAACGTGACATTATCTGTAAAACGATAACATTGATGTTAAAAACAGTTGCTGTTCTGGCATTGCCCTAATATATGCCTTGTAGAAATGTGGTGGGTTGATTACAAACTGAGTCATAAACTTGATCCCAGCTTTCTTGACAGTTTCATCAGGTGAAGAATAAAATTATCACTTGCTCCAAACAAAGTCAAGGAGCAAGAGGAATGAGGGTCCTCCTAGCCAGGAGTTTCCTTCTCACAGGGCTAGCAGGATATTATTGGCCAGGAGAGCACGTAAAAGTGACTGAACTGGTTTGCTAAATGCCAGATGCAGAGCCAGTATTCTCCATAAGAATATTACTTAGGTGGATAAAGGAACCCAGAGAGGCATCTATTCGCCTTTTTGCAAGCAGTGAACATACCCACCTGGTCTATCTACATAATAACAGACTGGACCTCCCTTGCAAGCTTTGTTGATATTGTCAACAACAGACAGATGCTGGCATTTACACTAGGATTAAACGTGGCAAGGTTTCAAGGCCTATTTGCAAAGGAAACCAAATAAAAGATGATCTTGTTGATAGGCAGTGCTAACAAAAGTTGAACAAATATTTTCAGCCGATTGCAATCCTGTCAGAGCAATGTAAGTGAGACATTAATTGCCACATACATCAAATATAAAGTGTTCATGCAGATGGAGAACTAATTAACCATACATCAGCTCATGAGTATAATATTTGATACTTTATACTACTTTACATCAACTAGAGACTAATTATGAAATCTGGAATATCACAACAAAGCTGCAAACTGACTTCACACCTTTGTTGTGCATAAGTGTCAATGCATGTGTTTGTGTGCATGTCGTGTGTGTGCACTAGCAAATTGCCAAGTTTGCCAGTCAATATGATGGAATGCATCAGGGACAAGTAATACCACCTTCCAATGCTGTAGCTGCATTTTCAACTCACGTTGTGCCTGAACCTTACAATAGAGATTGGGGATGTCAGTCTCACATGCTGGTGCTCTTGGAGATTTAAAACTTCAGTAATATTCTTCCAAATGTTCACCTACCTGAACGGTTAAGGGTTTATTAGAGATTGTGTCGGCTACATTCATCGTATCAGTGTCATGCTATTTGTTTCTTAATAATGCCATTGAAGTAATTGGGAATTGTGCTACACTTGAAGTATTATCGAAAAAGTAAGCTGAAAGGTCAAGATCAATCGTTCAAGAAACTACCAAGATTGAAAAGAGTAAAGAACAAACAAAATTAATCAGGAAGATTTGGGTTGATAACACCTTTGCTGAATGGCAGTGAGTGACTAGTAAATACCAAGGGATCAGTGATGGGGCCCCAGCTGTCCACAATATATGTTAATAGTTTAGATGAGAGAACTAAATGTAATATCTCAAAATTTGCAGATGACACAAAGTTGGTTGGAGCGGTGCATTGTGATTTGGACAGGCTGAGTGAGCGGGAAAATGCATTGTGGATGCAATGTAATGTAGGTAAATGGCAAAAATAGGAAGGCAGATTATCATTTGGGTGGCTGTAAATTGGAGAGAGGGGAATGTTCAACAAGACCTGGGTGTCCTTGTACACCAGTCACTAAGTGCTTAGGTGCAGCAGGCAGTAAAGAAGGCAAATGTTGTATTTGCCATCATAGCAAGAGGCTTTGAATACAGGAACAAAGATGTCTTGCTGCAATTATACAGGGCATTGGTGAGACCATGTCTGGAACATTGTGTGCAGTTTTGGTCTCCTTATCTGTGGAAGGATGTTCTTACTACACAGGGAGGCAGCAAAGGTTTATCAGACTGGTTACTGGTATGGCAAAGCTGCATATGAGCAGAGATTGAGTTGGTTAGGATTGTATTCATTTGAGCTTAGAAGAATGAGGGGAGATTGTTTAGAAACCTATAAAATTCTAACAGGACTAGACAGGTTAGATGTAGAAGGATGTTCTCAATTGTGGGGGTGTCCAGAACCGGGGGTTGGGGGTTGAGAGGTGGGGGGGTGGTGGTTTCTGGTCATAGTTTAAGTACAAGGGATAAATCTTTTAAGACTGAGATGAAGAGAAAATTCTCCACCCAAAGAGTGGTAAGCCTATGGAATTCGCTACCGCAGAGAGGGATTGAGGTCAAAACATTGTATTTTCAAGAAGGAGGTAAAGATATTGCCCTTATGGCACAAGAGATATGGGGGGAGGGCGGTATTAGGGTACTGAGCTAGATGATCAGCCATGATCAGAATGAATGGTGGAGCTGGTTTAAGGGGCTGAATGGCCTACTCCTGCTCCTATCTTCTATGTTTCTATGTTCCATGTTTCTCATCAACCTTGTGCCTTCAATACATGACTCTTGAAAGGAGGGCTAATAGAGAGATAAAAATTCCAGAGTTCAGGCTCCGAGTAAGAATGACGTGATGTAGCAGACAGTAGCACGTCTTCACCAACCTTTTCCTAAACGTTAACATTATCCATCTGTGTGCAATAATAACCACACATACAGATCAACAAATTACCTCATGAAAGTGAACAACTTATTGACAGAAAAAGTAAATAAATAGAGTGTTGAAAATTTTGAAGCTTAAGAAACAATTGCAGCAGAGTCCTCAAATACAGAGTAGGAATTCACACCTTTCTCCAACTGTGATGAATAATCCATTTTTTTTACTGGTGTTATGTTATGCATATTTTCAATTTAAGATAGATGTCATCATTCAAATCTCATATGTGTCTCAAATTACATCTTTTATAAGCTCCATTTGCGTGTCAATAGGGATCTCCTTAGTTGAAAGGTTACTGTCATCGTGAAAAAGCATGAAAGGGGCTTGGATTGACGTACTGCCATTGATTTCTCTATTGGCTGATATCTAACCAGCTGTTGCTGCTTTCTTCTTTATTAGTACGAGCTGTTGGGGATATTGTATGAAAACTTTGGAAAAATAAGAAAGGCTATTGGAGTGTTTTCATTTATGGCTTAGTTTGTACATCTGGGATGAACAAAGAGAAAAATTTATTTGAAGATAAATCCACAGTGTGCTTTGAAGGATAGTCATACAATGGCATCATTAGAGAAAAGCGTCCCAACTAGAAAAGCAAATACAGAAACCAACGTTAAACGCAAGATTTGTGATGTATTGAGGGAATGTTCTCAGAATTACAGCTACTTGAAAGAAAAATCATTTCCCAATTGCTTAAATTATAACAACATGCAGCTTTGTTTTAATCTGATGTTCAGTCAAGTCCTCAAATAAGTTTTTATTTTGTTACGATGGTTTCTTTCATTTTCTCCTGTTTATATCTAAGAGTTCAATTGAAGCATACAAGCCTTAATAATTAGATTATTAAACATGCAGGGCCTCCATGGCTTAGAGTTTAGCCATTTTCACTGAGCTAGTCACATCACTGAAAGTCGCTATCGCCTCATACAGCTGGGGGGAGCGATGAATTCATATGTCTATGGGGCCTAAGCTGAGGAGACACAGTCAAATATCAAGACCCTGTTGGCATTTTAGAGTGTGGCACAGTGATCAGGCACACAGGGTTCAGCAGGGATGCCCCAGAGGTCCTCACAGAGTTTCATCTGAAGGAGCTCCTTGGGATGACAATGCTGACTGAGGACCTTCCACATTTAACAAATGTCAGCGTGCTTCTGCCGCCCACTGTTTACCATCTGCTGAACTGAGTCCTGAACACTGCAGAAGGCCTCATTCTCCATGCTGCGTTCTCTGCTTCAGCACCGCATTGCCTGTCACAACCAGCCAGTAACCTGAGGTAGAGGAAGCAGGCTCTTGGTCATGGGCTGCTCAGATTCAGCCCTGTGTGCTCTTTTCACAAGATCCAATATTGGGTGAGTTGGTAGCCCAAAGCCCCAAACATTCTTAAACCAGGACTCCAGGCAGGAATGAAGCGCACTCACTCGAGTGTCACATCCTCGATATTTGGAGTACATTTTGTTTTCAATAATCCAGGAATGAATCACTGCCTTTATGTGGAGTGTTCACTGTGTTCTGCTGGATGATATGACTGTTCCACTTTTACCCCCATCTTCTGCTGTGCATAGCATTGCTTCTGGCTGACTGGCTGTTTATGATTGGCTGATATCTTAGCACTGGGGCCCACTTGAAGTATTGTAGTTCTTTCCTGTATAGTCTCTTCTTTAAATCCTGTGCTGCATACATTTTTGTTTATTTTCTGTTTTGTGGAAGCTTTTAGACCACTAATCACACAGATGATTGATTTTTTAAAAGAGAAAAGCTTAACAAAGGTTCAAACCCATGTTTAGAATGCATATACATTTTAACTTTGACTTTTATTTTAGGGTGAAGCAGGATTTTGGGGACCTCAGGGAGAACCCGGGCTGCCTGGGTTACCAGGAACAAAGGTGAGATTGTTGTAATTGTGTGCAAGAGGCTGCTAACTACAGAGAGCACTGACCTTGTATCCATTTGAAAAATTAACCCAAAATATATTTGGTTCATAATACAGAGAAGTTGTATTGTTCAATTATGCCAAGCCCAATTCAGAAAAGTGAACGAAAACTCCAAATTTCAAGTTTAAAATAAAAAAAAGTGTAACACAGTGCACAATAAAAACTGATTTTGATGATGATTTCCTTCCAAATTAATGATGAAACAACTAGGTGATGCACTTCTTCAGAAACTGCATGAAGTCTGCTTCATGTGCAGAAGTGTAGCTTCTTTTGGAAAATGGTAAAGACTTAACTATCAGTGACATCACCTCTGATAGGCCACTGTGCTCCTCGTGTGTATCCTCTTTGGAAATACAAGGAAATGTGGAGTAAGTCACCAATGCCGAGATCAATGTGTCAGAATTTGCAGGATACGCTGAGAACCTTGCTGTTGCAGAGAAACCTGTGTCAACATATCTATGATGTTGTTTGTTCTTTGGTATTTTTAACAGGGAGAGAAAGGAGATGGAGGGCCACCAGGAAGAGGTGAAATAGGCCAGCCTGGACCTTCAGGCCCAAAGGTTAGCTGACTGTTTTACCCAGGAGGTTTTATCTTGTTCCTGTTCACACCACTGAACGTGATGTTTAAAGCTCTAAGCTGTTCATTTGCAGCATATCACACATATCTCCAGATTCCACCTTTAGTTCCACACAGGAAATGGGTTGTTGGTGTCTGTGCTGTCCGCTGGAAGGGCTGACAGATCTATCATTATTTCTGCTGTTAAACTGAAACAGGAGATCATTGACAATTGAGAGTCTGTCACTATGTGGCCAAAAAACAACTCAGTTTAAACAATGCCCTGTTATCAGGCTGGAAGAACTTGTCTTCAGTTGCACACTCTGGTCTCCATAACTGTTCTGTGCAAATAGCTTTGCAATGCAATGAAACTGGTGTGGTTTTCAATTCAGGGCCAGCTCCTCTTGTTTGTGCATCTTCACGGAGCACTATCTCCTATTTAGAGATTAAACAAAAATAAATTAACAGTCAGCCGGTCATTCAAGAAAAAAATTGTCTCCTTTTAGTTTGACAGCAGGATACCAAATAAGTTTTAACTTTGAAAAACCAGAGAGCAGTTTTTTTAAAATAAGACCATTCTTGTCTATTTACTCTTTCATGATGCATCATGAAGGCGTGAATTATTAAAGTTACATTTTCAATAAATTTTCAAACCAAAAAATCCTCCAAAGACAGGTGAATGATCCCCTGGCCTATCCTTCTGTTTTCATGGCAGTGGGCTTTAGATCCGAACAAGTGTCCTTGTTAGGATTTAGAGAGACAGTTGAGTCTAAGCAGTTGCTCAGCTTACCTTTTTATGTAACATCACATTAACTATTTACAATATTAAGCTTAGCACATAGTGTGCACTAAAACAACTTCATCCTTAGTCCACAACAAGTAATCTCTTAAATTACAGCTGATACAGGCTGACTGCTAACTGTTTACTGTACATCTCCTCCCAATCCCTGACAATATGCATGATTTATGTTCATCCTACGTCTCCCTTAGAATCTCTGCATGGAATCTGAAAAACGGCAGGGAAGGTGATAGGAGGGGATCTAGCTGCTGCCTTCCCACCGCCACAGGAATGAATTTCCGGGCAGGAAGGCCCAAGCTGAACCTTCCTGCTCTTCTGTCAATTAATTCTACCTTTAGTCAATTAAAACTTGAGGGTCTCATCCTACCCGGGTTCGAATTACTTCTGGAAGAGGGCTGTTAAAGGATTGGCCCATCAAACTGGTCAGGACGTGGATGTAAACCATATCATCAGTAAGTTCGCAGATGACATGAAAATTGGTGGTGTGGTAAGCCATGAGGAGGAAAGCCTTAAACCACAGGATGATGGAGACAGGCTGGTCAGATGGGCTGAACAGTGGTAAATTGGATTTAATCCTGAAAAGTGTGAGCTGATGCATTTTGGGAGGACAAACAATGCAAGCAGCACATGATGAATGGTAGGAACCTAGGAAGTACAGAGGACCAGAGGGACCTTGATGTTTATGTGCATGGATTCTTGAAGGCAGAAGGACAGGTAAATAAGGTTGTTAAGAAGGCACATGGGATTCTTGTCTTTACGAGTTGAGGCAGGGAACACTAGAGCAAGTGGTTATGATGGAGCTGTTAGTTAGGTTACAGCTGGAATACTGTGTACATTCTGATCACCACATGATAGGAAAGATTTGTTTGCACGAGAGAGAGTACAGAAGAAATTCGCCAGGATGTTGCCTGGACTGGAGTAATTGATTTCTGAAGAGGGACCAGATAGGCCGGAGTTATTTTCCTAAGAGCAGAAAAGGCTGAGGGGTGGGGTGGGGGGACAAGATCAAATTGAGGTGTACAAAGTTCTGAGGGCATAGACAGGATAGATAGAAAGAAACCTTTCAATTTACTAAAGGGTTCAGTAACCAGGGGAAACAGTTTTAAGCTAAGGAGTAGGAGGTTTAGAAATGATTTGAGGGAAGGCTTTTTTCACCCACACCATGATGGGAATCCAGAGCTCCATGTCTAAAAGAGTGAGAAAGGCATGAACTCTCAAGACATTTAAGAACTATTTACTGCGTACTTGAAATGCTATAGCATACAACAGTTTTATTTGCATTGTGCAAGTAAGTGTTCGAGTCATCAGAGAGTACCAGCTCTATATTCAAGTTATTTTTCTGGACCTCTGGATAGTTGGGCTATTTCCATTGTACCTTCACGATTTTGATCCCAGATCCATGTCAACCCTCCTGTCTGGGGATTTGGTAAGTTATAGACTCTAATATATAGTTTATGGCTTGACTTACTTGGTACTGCTTGCTTTTTCACACTGTCTTTCTATCTATTAGCATTGCACTTGGTATGAGTATGTGTAGGAAAGCAGAGCTTGGTCCTTGGTTTTTTATGCCCATCAAGAGTTTGCACAGGACAAGACCGTTTTGTAGTGGTGCATAGTGATAACTCAGTAGGGCCAAGTCAAAGCCCTCATTCATCTTCAACAAGCTTTGATTATCCTTATTCCAGTCGCCATTCGCCTGTGCATATTTAGGTGAACTGGTGATGTGCACAAACCTCTAGGATTCTGCAAAGTTATTTTGAAATATTCATTGGAAAATTGTGGACCATTAGCTGAAATTATCTGAAACAGCTATTCCTGGCATGCCCCATGCTATAAGAATTTCCTTGAGGAAGAAAGTAAGAGCTTCTGAGGTGAATCCATGCAACCTCAATCCATCTTGGATTTTTTTTTTCTTATTATTCATTTTGTGGGATGTGGGCATTGCTGGTTGGCCAGCATTTCTTGCCCATCCCTAGTTGCCCTTGAGAAGGTGGTGGTGAGCTGCCTTCTTGAACCATTGCATTCCTCCTGCTGTGGGCTGACCCACAATGCTATCACTGGATTTTGACCCAGCGGCAGTGAAGGAACGGCGATATATTTCCAAGTCGGGATGGTGAGTGACTTGGAGGGGAATTTGGAGGTGGTGGTGTTCCCATATATAACAAATGGAATGAAGATATGATGAGTGTTTCTTTTCATTCTTATTGATGCATTGCCGATGCAGATTATGCAGTTAAAAATCATACTTCCAACGTTCTTGAAGTTCCATGTCTCTTAACATTTCATACCTCCACATGGAGTTTATGCTTGACCTCTTTACTTTCTAACAGCTAAGTGATGTCACTAGATCCACTGAAGAAGGTCAAGTCTGAGGGTTTTTGGAAAAGCATCCTCCATTATAGATTAGCAATGAAATCTGTGAAACTAAGATGTCTTCACTGCACAGAGTATTGTTTTGGAATGGGATTGCTTGAAATATATTTTGACCATCATTTAATGCACATTCTTTATCTTTTTCTAAGCTTCTGATCACTTGGATGCTGCAGGTAGCCTTGTCATAAAAGAAGTCAAGGACTGTACTTCTTAGATAAAATGCTTATCCTTTTGTGCTGGTTATTTAGTAAGAATGCATGGTAAAGTGTCCACTATAATTTGAGATTTTCCTTGAACATACTTAGTTGTAGCATTGCACCTCATTATTCGTAAGTGAAGTCTCTGTATTCTCACTGGCCTCACCAGTTCCTTGACATTTAACAATGGTGCCAATATTTTGTGGTCTGTTTCAATGGTAAATTTCAGATCGAAGATGCAATCTGATTTTTTTTTCACAAACTTATATAGCTGCCAGTGCTTCATTTTCAATCTCTGCATGTTTTTCTTCATTTCAGGCAAGTTCTGGATGCAAACCAGTCTACACTTTCCATCTTTCTGTATTTGAAAAAGTACAACTCTTAGTCCAGTTGACAATGCATCTGTAGCTACTATTGTTCTTAGTTCTGGGTCATAGTGAAGTTGTATGTCTGATGAAATAGACATTTCCTTTATTCTCTCAAAGTACTTCAATTGATTTTTATGCCTACACCATGCTTGATTCTGACTGAGCAAATGTCACAGCAATTCACAATTCTTGTGCCAAGCTTGTTAAAAAGATCCCCACTCAGTTAACTGTTCCCCTGCAGTATCTCTGCTGTACTGCGATGTTGTGAGATGGGGGGAAATCTTGGATGGTTTTAGTCTTTTGTTGATCAGCCCTGATGCCTATAGCATGATTGATGTGTCCCAAAAGATTAATGGTATGTTGTGAGAACACACGTTTTTCGTGCAGAGTGTGACCTGCTTCTTGCCAGCATTTAAACACACGGCTCCACTCTGTCGTCATGTTCAGATATGGTGGAATTATGGATTAGAACGTCATCCAAATGACAGATAACACCTTTTAATCCTTACAGGATGTACATCACTGTTTTAATAAAAATTTCTGGTGTTTATATAGTGTCAGAGGTAGCCTGTAAAAGCATTACATTCCAATTGATATGGTAACATTGTCAATAATTTGGATTCTTTATCTAAGTGCAGTTTCTAAAGCCACTTTTAGCATGAAGTTTGCTGAAAATTGTGCTTTTTGTTAGCTTCACCAAACTTTCATTTAATGATGCCATAAGCTGGATCTACCTTTCCACTGCTTTGTCTAATTGTGTGCGATCAACACAGATTTGTCAGAAGAAGAGACATACTGGACTCCCAATGTTAACTTTGTTTCTCTTTCCACAGATGCTGTCATAATCGCTGGGTTTCTCCAGCACTTTCTGTTCCTATCACAAATTCATAGTGAGCCATTTGGTTTTGGTACTATGCCAAAACACCAATTCATTGACTGTGTCACTGGTGAAACCACTCTTGGATGTAGCGTTGCTAATCTTTTTTTGCTTCATCTTCCTTAAAACTAAATGCGAAACTTTCCTTGGAGTGAATAAGCACACAGGTTTGGCATCTGAACTCAACATGATATGGGAAGCTATTTTAGCCATTCAAAGCCAATAAGCAATTTTGTGAATTACACTCTGAATCCTTTTTGGTTTCCCAGGTGTTCCAACTCATGAACCTTATAAATTAGTTACAGATCTGCGCAAGCTTTCTGGCTCAGTAATGAACACTCTCGATTTTAAATCACATTTTGTGTCTCTGATTTCTACTCCTTTATACTGCAGTGTCACAGTCAACTGTTCCAGTCCCTGGAGTTAAATAGTTGATGTCTTAGAGGAAGTTTCTCCCAGAAATTTTATCCCATTGCTTTTGAGTTCTTCAATGTCTTGAATGTTACTTGTTCTGGTTACATTTTCTTTTCCAGTTTATCTCTTTATTGCTGTGGCAGACAGTTTTAAAGTGTCCAGTCTTCTTGCTGGACTGCCACTCTGCAGGCCAATCTTCACCTCCAATATTACTTTACCCACCGCAGAAAGAACATTGTGTAATGGCAGCACCACCCTTTGTGCTTTCTTAGCTTCTGTTTCAATGCATTTTCAGTCCTGTACCTCACAAACTGTACTGCCTCAATTGGTCTTCTCCAAGAAGAATTCCTTTTGCCTCAGATAAAAACTCAGTTCTGCTTTCTCACCTCTGCCTGCCTTGGTAATTGCATTGCTTTTGCTCATGTTAAATCTTCCCTTGACTGTAATGAAAACTGATAGGATCTCACCCAAGACTCCAACCACAATATAATCCTTAAATAGGTAATCTTTCATAGTTCAATACTTACAATTATGCTAATTAATATAGGTCATTCATGAAGGATCCTCTACTGTCTCCTGGGTTTCTAATGCATTTATTACTTTTTGGCCTGAGTATAATTTAATCTAAGGCTGAAATAAACATTGACAGTTCCAGTAACATCTTTAAATATGGAAGTTTATTTATTTATGCCCAGTCCCACTAATACAACACATGTAAGGCTGCTAATTGTACAGGGAGGTAATTGACTTTGGCCTTGTTGGTTTAGCTACTAACCTCAAGACATTCAATACCTGGTAAACAGTCTGTGCCAGTTTTGCCACAACTTGTCTTACTTTAGACTTTCCAGATGCTTGAGACATTCTGGTCACAGTAATTTCTTCACCTGAGCTTTCTAATGTTCAGCGGTACTCTGTTTACAACTGCTTCCCTCTATCCCACAGCTCTGGCACTGGTGATGGTGAAGGCCAATATTCTTTCTAAGATACACCTCTGTAGAGCAACCCAAAAGTGCTCACCCACAGGCTGCACACAAGCCAGCCCCTTAATTTGCAATGTGTGTTTGTACAACACAAATGAGGGTCCACCCACGTAATCAGGCACAGACTATAAGAAGATTGAAAGTTATGTTGGTGAGGAGCCTCAGGAGGAGGCGAGATGAATTATCCACTTGGCAGTTCTTACTGAGAATAGTTACAAACATGTCATTTTGTGCATTCTGATGCTGTGCTCTGCAATTATTGTGTATTTGGATGTTCTTTGAACATCCTGCTCATCTAGTTAACTGTAAAGCTGTTTACCAACTTCCATGACTGGGAATAGCAGTGCTCCAGACAGGGTGTATTGCCTGGAGGATACCTCGACCCAGTCTACAGCATGCTACCACCACCATTGAGCATCCATGTAGCTCTGTGTTGCAGCATCACCAAATTGTTTGCACCTCACTGTAACCCTGGGCAATGGTACAGATCAGCCGTACCCCAATGTAAGCCTGGGCAATGGTACAGATCGGCCGTACCCCACTGTAACCCCAGGAGATGGTACAGATCAGCTGTACCTCACTGAAACCCCGGGAGATGGTACAGTTCGGCTGTACCCCGCTGTAACCCTGGGAGATGGCACAGATCGGCCGTACCTCATTGTAACCCCGGGAAACGGTACAGATCGGCCGTACCTTATGGTCACCCTAGGAGAGGGGTCTACACTGTAATCCTAAGAGACAGTATCTCAGTGTAGCTCCTGGAGTGAGAGCAGGGATTGAGCAGCAATCAACTGACAAATACTGCCCACTATGCGTTTTTTTTATCAACTCTATTAAAAGATTTATAACTTATAAACCATTACTTGGAGAATTAATGCAGAAGAATTCTGGCTATATTTAATTTAATATCACTCCAACAAACAGAAATCAAAAGGACGCACGTGGCATTGCAACTTAATTAAATCCACTCATTCGAATGTGCAGAGCACATCGGCTGAAATCAGGATTGTTATTTAAATGTAACATTTATATTAAATTATATTACTAACCATTCTTCTTAATAGTCTTTGTTCACAAGATAACGTAATGTTTCCTTTTTATCCTTTTGTCCTATCCCACCCCTTTTGCATTGCCTGTTACTGTGTGACCTGGACCAGGGGGAGCCAGGTGAACTGGGGATGCCAGGCCGTTATGGAGCAAAGGTTAGTGTTGTGTGTTATTTCAATCATTGCAGCTTCCTTTCGATTAGTTAATAATTAGAAGTGACTTCAAAAGCATTATGGATGCGAGATTGGTCCTGAGCTGATGAGTTTCAAGATGGTCAGAGTTGTCCAGATCAAAAGGTTGTGTTTTTAGAATCTGTTTAAGAAATGCATTTTGCTCAACAAAGCCTTCAACTGTTATACATAAATCCCTTCTCAGTGCACATCTCAATCACTATCTCTTTCCTTAAACCCATTCATTATGTCCACATCAATGACCTTTCATGCTAAATTATTTCACAACTCTCTTGCACTTTGAAATACAAGTCTTGTCTGACTTCTCTCTTTTTTTTTTAATTCATTCATGGGATGAGGCCATCACTGTCCAGGTCAGCATTTATTACCACCCCTTATTTCCCAGAGGACTGTTATGTGTCAACCACATTGCTGTGGGTCTGGAGTCACGTGTAGGCCAGACCAGGTAGTCATGACAGTTTCCTTCCCTGAAAAACATTAGTGGTCCAGATGTGTTTTTCTGATAATCGACAATGGTCATCATTAGATGCCTCATTCCAAATATTTATTGAATTCTAATTCCATCTACTGCCATGGCAGAATTCGAACCCGATCCCAAGAACATTACAAGGGTCTCTGAATTAGTAGTTTGGTGATAATACAGCTAGGCCATTACCTCCCACTAAAGCTGAAATCCTACCATTAACACCCTAATGCTTTGACATTAAGCACAACAGGCAGGTCTGGTTAGTCTGGTGCTCATATGGCTGGCTGACCATTTTTACTGACTGGAGGATTTGTAACCAAAGTTCTTATGTTCCCAGCCCTCTGTCTTCAAACATATCATCGTTTGCATTTATTTTGAAATGAGAAATCCACATTGATATGCTTTTTAAAATGTTATGGATTCAGCAAAGTCAGCTTCCAGTGGAGCAAAGCCAATACTCACTGAATCCAACTGCTCACCTTCAGGATTCACATCCAAGAAAGCACACCAACATCTCTACTTCCTCAGAAGTCTAAGGAAATTCAACATGTCAACAATGACTCTTACCAATTTTTATACATGCACCATTGAAAGCATCCTATCCAGATGCATCACAGCTTGGTATGGCAACTGCTCTGCCCAAGATTGCCAGTAATTACAGAGAGTTGTGAACGCAGCCCATTCCATCTCGCAAACCAGCATTCCGTCCACTGACTCCATATACACCTCCCGCAGCCTCGGGAAAGCAGCCAACATAACCAAAGACCCCTCCCACCCTGGGTATACTCTCTTCCACCCTCTTCCATCAGGCATAGGTTTGATTTATCTGATTAGCAAGCAAAGCAATACTTTCCACTATATCTCATTCCATGTGACAATAATAAATCAAAACAAATCAAATCCTGTGAAAGCTTGTCCAGGGTGAGGTTTTCATCCTGTGTGCATGTAAATGTATTTACATTCTATGGAAATGTCATTCCATTCCTGGTTTTGTAGCAGACCGCTTGTGTTACACAGGTTACAATGATCTTCAGCTTCACGTGAATACAAATTGTGTGACATTATTTGGATGTGAAATGCCTTTAGATAACAGAGGTGAGATAAACTCAAGTATAGCAGCAGGAAACATCATGCCCAATGTGATAAACCTACAACCAACTTGAAGCAAGCCATTATAAAGTGCTCAGATAGTCCATTGGATTAAAGGAATATTTTTCACCTTTATTTATATCATTGCACCTTTTGTAAGAGCTTAAAGCTGAGGCAGTTCTCTTGACAGTAAAATTGAACCATCATCACTAACCAATGATCAGAATGCTGATGTGCAATGCTGCATATAGAGCTGCTTGAGTCGGATTGAGGAGGAAGTTTTGGCTCAGTCTATTATGAGTCAAACAAGTACCTCTTTAAAACAGCACCATTTATATCACAATACTCAATAATATGTCAAAATAAAGAGGCATGGAAAGGTCTGAGACAAAGGCCCCTATTATTTAAGCTGAAAGTTTATTACCTTACATCATCGTGTCACTAATAAATAAAAAACAACTCCAGGGCTTACCAACAATGCCCTGTGGAACCACCTCAGCATCTTTCTGCTATTCTGATAGTGATGTTAATACTCAAGCATTCCAGCTTTCCTATTTGAACAGATCTAGCTTCGGACTTCAGTCCCTGAGGAATCTGTGGTTTCTAAGTTATGGCTAATATTTTAAGTGATTAACGTTAAGGGGGCAGGTGTAACCCAGTCACTGATTAGTCTCACACCTGTTGGACGTAACATCAACAGTTCCAGACAGTCTGGACTGACAGCTCCAGAGGACTTATTATGGACCAATTTAAACCACGGAAATATCATAAGGAAATCATCAAATCCATTGCCCTGGCTTTTGGAAGCTGGGCTGAGCTCAAGGAAGACCAGGTCTTTCACACCTCATCACTCCAATTCCAGTGTGGGTACATTGAGAGACACTTTAAGAAGAGAAGGTATGTGTGGTGAAAATAGATTTTCAATTCCTCCTCCAAGTAACACTAAACTATGAGAAGCTGGAAATCACCTTATAGCACAAATGTACATTTTAAATTGATCCCTGTCTGCTAAACACTTCATATTTCACCTTTCTGATGAAAACTGTATATCTGATGTTGAGTAGTGAATGTCTTTCCTGATCTTCAACAATGGTCCAGCAGTGTTAAAGAAAGGAAAACCTGTGACACCCAGGTGTCATGCAGACATCTCCAAAGTAGGCTATAGGAAGGGAGATCTTTGTGAGATCTGCAATAGTATCACTCACCAAGAGTCTCCAGGTTGACATCTGTCAGCAACTTCCTGTTGAAAGTGAATGTTAAAACAGTAAGCATTTCCCATGAGGGAGAAGATGGTTCAAATAATTTTTGATATTGGAGTAGATCATCAGCTTGACAAGAGGGCATGAAAATGGTGTGATGGATCATCCACCCAGTTTTCTATTGAATCAATGAAGATTGGTAAGGAAGAAGTACATGATTATGTCATGTGTAGCCTGTACAAGATATTGTAGAATGATGAGGGAATGGCATGAAAGAGAGAGGATTAGGGACGAGGATGCCATCCCTTCAATGGTTCCAAACTTGCCACTGACCATGCCATCAGCAGCAGCTATCCCAATAATGGCCAACACTGTCTTCTCTGGGAAGGTGAGACATGCAGCAAGCAGTTAGAAAGGCAAATGGTATTTGCTATTGCCAAATAGTGTTGGCCTTCACACATTAGGATTTGATTACAAAAGTCTTACAGCAGTTGTACAGGGCCTTGGTGAGACCACACCTGGAGTACTGTGTACAATCTTGATCTCCTTACCTAAAATAAAATATACTGCCATAGAGGGAGTGCAGTGAAAGTTCAACAGATTGATTCCTGTGTTGGTCGGTTTGTCATCATATAAGGAGAGATTGGGTCAGTTGGGCCTGTATTCACTGGAGTTAGAAGAATGAGAAGGTACAAACTTCAGTCAGAGCTGGACAGACCAGAAGCAAGGATGAAGTTTCCACTCACCTGCAGTCTTAGAGCGAGGGGTCCCAGTCTCAGGATACGTAGTACGCCAATTCAGACTGAGACGATAAAGGATCTTCACTCAAATGATGCTGAACCTGTAAAATTCTCTACTACAAAAAGTTATGGAAGCCAAGTCACTAAATATATTTAAGAAAGAAATATTTCTTTAAAGGCTAAAGATATCAAGGAGTATGGGGACAGAGTGGAATATGGCATTGAGATAGAGCCAAGGTTATGTTGAATGGCAGAATGGGCTCAATGGGTTGAATGACACATTCAAGCACTGATTTTCAGTTTTCCATATGTTTCTCCACCTTCAGTTAGCTCCTTCTGCCTTTGGATACGCACAACCTTGTGCTGCAGGAGAGAGAGAAGTGTGTCAGTGAGTGTGATACAATTTGTAAGTGTTGTGACTGTCATAAATGCATAACTCCATGTTCAAACTGTACAGTGTGGATGTGAGAGTTGCAATAGTTTCAAATGTGTAAGTGTCTGCTAAATCACATGAACTTTCGATCTGAGTCCTGATGGATAAGAGACAACAAGGTGCAGGGCTGGATGAACACAGCAGGCCAAGCAGCATCATAGGAGCAGAAATG